CTCGGTCATGTGTGGCGTATGGATTCAACGCGGATACCGAAGCAACTATTATGTGGTCAACTGAGTTTGGAAAAGCGGCATGTGGGGAAACCGAAACTTCGTTACCAGGACATGATCAAAATGAGCCTCTCACGTCCTAATCTTGATTGCATGTCACGGGAATCGAAGGCAGTTGATCGGCGTGCATGGCGCGATCTGATCACGAAGGCTGTTGCCAAGATACAAGAGAAACCTTCTTGCACGCAGAGAAGCGGCAAGCACCGATGGTTTGTACTCCATCGACATCGAGCGCATGGTGCTGTAGCACATGCGGTCGCGAGTATCTGAGTCAGGCAGGCCTAGTGAGTCATGAGCGACGCCACTCGGCACCACCACTGAAGAGACGACGGGTCCTGCAGAGAAGGTAGGCAGAACCGGCGCAGCGTTTGTTGGTACGCTGCATTAGATTTATTAACCGCGTGGTTGCATGCTGAGTATTTTTATTTCAGGTGGTGTGTTTGCTATATTGTCCTAATATCTTTTTATCTCATAATTATGTTTGCCCAAACTATCTTTTATAAGCTTACACACATTGCCTACGCGAATTATAGTTAACTTCGATAACATTTTTGCGGTTGTGGCATTTTCTTAAGATATATTTCCTTAAGTATTGTACCCTTTGCAGGTATTTTTGCAACCAATTTATTTCAGACGCTCATTTAGTGAAGATTTATGTCACCGTATCTGTATGTATTATTTGATTTATTTTATTTGCTACCGTCGTTTCACGTGATTGTCTGTTGCTTGATATCCGCGATGCGGCCGCACTTGATGTGCATTTTGATAAGGTGCCTAGTTGTCTATTACCCACTAACTCGTCCATACTGGCAGATATATATATATATATCTTTGGTTGGTGGCATCCGGTTTCGGATTTGCCTGTCAATGTGGCCAGTCACAGGGCGCCTGCGCCTACTGAGGGACCAGGGGTGGCTTGCGCTGAACCACCCACAGCTCTAACCGCACACCCATATCCAGTGTAAACCCGAAGGAATAAGACCGGGAGGCATGCGGATGGGAGCCACGTTTTATCAACGGAGCAGGCCCACACTCCTTCACAGGCAAACACAAGCACACCGTATTTGGGATCAAGCGCACACAAGGCGGTGGCTGGACCGTAGTCCGCTCCACACTGACTGCATGGAACCACCCTTTGATCCTAATACGGCCACAAGGACCGTGCACCCCGTCCCCTCCAGCAACGACCAACTGTCTCCTGGAGCCAGTATGGACGAGGTAGCGGGTAGACACCTTGCCAACATGCACATCAAGCGCAGCCTTACCGGGGATATCAAGCAACAGCCAATCACTTGAGAGAAAGATAACAAAGAAAATAAAGCGAGTAATGCATAAGTAAAGGGTGACATATCTTAAAGTAATGAGTATCTGAAGTAAATTGTTTACAGAAGAATGCTCCTGGAAGTTGGTCGGAAAGCCAGACGGTCTGTGAAAAAACAACTTCTGACAAAAGTAATGAAAGTTAAGCGTTACAAATGGGGACTAAAATACAAAAACTGGACAAAAGAAGATTGGAGAAAAGTCCTATACAGCGATGAAAGCCATTTCTATGTTCATGGTCAGAGAAGTCAGTATGTTCGGAGGTCAGAGGGAGAAAAGTTCCGTGATTCCCACATTGACCACTTTGTGAAACACCCACAAAAGCAGATGTTTTGGGGGGTGCTTTAGTTATTACGGCGTCGGCGCCTTGCATCCAGTCCAGGGCATGATGCGCTCTCCACAATATATAGAAGTTCTCCAAAGAAGAGCTGTTCCAGAACTAAAAAAGACATTTCCTGACGGATCTGGCGTATTTCAACAAGATCTGGCCCCGTGCCACACATCAAAAATGGTCAAGACTTTTTTCAATACTAATCAAATAACCATCTTGGACTGGTCTGGGAATTCACCAGATTTAAACCCCATTGAAAATATGTGGTCTATTTGCAAGCAACGCCTTCGTGGCATGGACTGTACGACAAAGGAGAAACTTAATCAAGCTTTAATTCAAGTTTGGTACAGGGACCCAAGAGGGGCTGAAGTTTGTTCAAATTTAGTGGATTCCATGCCAAACCGTATTAAAATGCTACTCAAAAGTCGAGGAGGTCATGTTGTGTATTGATGTGAGTATATTAGTGCAATTCGTTATAACAATCTTGAAAAAAAGGCTTTGCAGTGTTTTCGCAGTTTGTTTCAATTAATGTGCACAAGGATATATATATATATATATATATATATATATATATATATATATATATATATATATATATATATATATATATATATATATATATATATATATATATATCGCATTCAAGTGTTCCTGCGTAGAATGCCTTGAGTCGATAGTTTTGTCGATGCACGCCGTAGGCATAGTTTTCACTATCTGCGTTTGGCTTGGGAACTTCCATGCACAACCTGATTGCTGAACAGGAGGGACGAGTTGTTGGCTGAGCAGTGAAATGCATATGGTGGAGTACCGGTTTCGAACCATGAATCAATCCAGGTGAAAAAAGGGGACACGTAAATTACAAGCGTGCTTTGTTGACTAGAGATTGCAAGAGGCAGAATTTGAGGAGCGCAGCAAGATGTCAAAATCGGAGAGGTTCGACAGTATAACTCAAGGCAATGGGAGCATGGCAGTGCGGACTTTCCGATCTGGCCGGCGATAAGCGAGCAGAAAATACAAAATGACGAATAGTGTCTGATCCGATGGACCTCTCTAAATGATAGTTGAGTGACTGTGAGATATGCGAATTTGTCCGCTCTGTCCTACAATGATGAATCACCATTTAAATGGTGATAATTACGTGAAAGGGCGTGTATCACTAACGGCGCTCAGACATCAGCTGGGCTCGACCAGAAAACAGCGATCTAATTCGTGGTTTTAGTCGACCTACGCGACGAACTTACACTCTTTGTGAAGGGAAAAGGAAAACTATTCCAGTCCTGATACATGTAAATGGAGAGTTTTGTACACTCAATCACTACGGAGGTTGGAGTGATCACAGAAGAAAAAAACGTCCTGCGGTACATCATTGGAAAATAAAATGAGTAGCAAACAGACGCGGTCAACCGAAACAAAGACGCCCCAATGTTAAGGAAGTTGGTCATGGTAGGCTATTTGTTGACATGACGCTATTCACTCACATGCTGAGGCAAGCAAATGCGGTCAGCACACATTATGTCGGAGAAGAAACCAAGCTATGTATGAACCACTGCCAGTAAGTCATCAGTACCAGCATTCGACGATCAGTATATAAAGATAGACGGCGTGATAACATAGGCAGCGGTCTAACGTGGTCCGATGTAGCTTGTTAGCACGGTTACCACGTGCTGTTAAGCACTGGTTAATGGCCACTGGGTAAGCAGAGGTAGCTTCATTAGGAGACTTACAGGTACGTCGCAACTAGCCACACTACGATTAAGTCGGCTCCTGTTTGTTAGTTGTAGCCAGTCTGGTCATAAAGCAGCGCGCAATGTACAGCCCCGGTGATACCAGGAAAGGGTCGAGGCAGCAAAAAGACTAATTAGAGTTGTGCAGCCTAAAACTAGTTTGTTGGACACCCTTAATTAGAGCGCGGAGAGTAATTCACGAAGACATTAGGGCTTTCTGTTTTGTAGAGTAATGTGTGTGTTCCGATCAATTCATCGCAGTTACCTGAGACGATCACTTGGCCCACGGGTACCAATCTCACTATAACTCAAGCTGATGAACTGGTTTGCTGCTCGTGGAATTTCACAGAGGACATGATCATCCTACACATCCCACACCGCGCTCTTTCCAATGGTATCTCTTCACATGTGAATCCAGTCCCTGCATACGAAAATTCAGCAACTGGCCTCTCTGAAATAAGAACACTTCTCCAAACACCAGAAACCGTAAACACACAATGATAATTTTAATCAGAATGATAATTACTTCTGCACAGAGACACTCCAATTGAAAGCAACGTTTCACTGTCGTTTGAAGGGTTGCCGGGCCCTCTATGGATGATGTTCAGAAATAGTATATTGCGTGTTTCTGGATCATGGTACACATGTTCGGTCCACCTTGATTCGATGGTAGCCTAACAGGGGTTGCAGATCTTAAACATAAATACTATCCGAATGATTGTTTCCGTTCCACGGAACTTTGCATTGGTCGCTTTTCTCGCCAGTGATCGGATCTAAGACAGTTACAAATGCGGTAGTATCTTAACTTCAGATAACCCACAGATACAAGCAACATCCAGTATGTTACTGGAAAACTGGTGAGATTTTTGTGTATTTTCCCATCATTAGTCGTTGTATCAACAAAAAATGCTATTATTTACCAGATCGTGTTGCAATAGGCGTATCACGTATAAAGCGAGAATACACTACTTATTTATAAGAAGTGGTACAAAGGTTTATCCAGAAGGATAATGGAGGCAAATGTCAAGGTGACTGGTGTAAAGCGCGATCTCAGTGAGCAGTGTGTAGGTCGATAAACGTCAGGCGTTTTCTGATTACATTACTGAACTCTAAGGCTGAATTCGTACATCTATGTATTCCATCAGGTAGAAGTGGTAAAGCAGCGCCTTGAGCCAAGGGCCCTTGGGAGGTCAGCCAGTATCTATGCCGAAGCAACCAGGCGGGCAACGTTTGAGGAATCATTGGCATGATCATTTTGAAACACTCCCTGCAGTGACCGAGGTTCGCTTCAATGTGAATCACGGTCCAGATTGGGATTCCGTATAGCAATCTATCCACATCGAACCAGTGCTTCCAACTGACTCCTGCAATCAGTGTGTAATTCCTCTGATTAGAAAGTATTCTACCTTAAAGTGCAAAAGCATTGCGATTAAGTGAACCTTGTGGAATCCTATATACAATCTAAGTTCTACACTAGGATCCCTGGTCATCCTACGACAGCGGAAGGTAAGCAAATCAGTGGAGTAGTATACTATAAGGCGAGAAGAGTAGCACGAGTGAAGGGATGGATTTTAGGGATTATGTAGTCAAGCAGGCTGGTACATAGGGATAACACCGAAACAAGAGTGGTCTCGATCAAAAGAGCATGGTATCCTTGACAGTGTGTGACATTAAGCTCATGCTATGTGAAACCATCGTGAGCCCCAACCAACGCAAACAAGGCCCCATGCGAGTTCCTTCGGGTGGAAGGAGGCAGCGAAGAATACTGTTGGCATACTCGCCAAAGTTGTGTGACCGTATGATAAGGAAGAAGAACCTGTATTGTAGACATTTTAATCAAAATGAGGTCTTGAACATGAGGTAGAAAACTAGAGACGGAAGATGTTACGTAGGCATCTGAATGGACCACAGAACAGCCAAGGGTGACAGTGATCAGAAGAGTGCAGAAGCATGGCAACAAAGGATCGGCTTTAAGGAGAACGTGGGTACAATGATGGAGAAAGATGCCCACGAATTTGTGGTTCCGGGAAAATGGAATCTGGATTGAGCAACAGCGCATATAACATGGCGGGCAATGGCAACTGCCTGGCAACTTCACTGAGTGACTGTCTCGGACCTTGTGGCGATCTGTAACGCAGACTGGCACGAAGCCGTACGCGAATGTATCGCTTTGTGGCCTCAAAAAGTGTCGGTGGTCGGGACTGCAGTTGAAGGAACCAAGACTGTATGGCGTCAGGGATGGTGATGCATGATGTATTGCCAAAAAGTTGTTCCACACAATGCGGCAAAGCAACGCCTGCGCGATTTTCAAGAAAAGCCAACAAGAGACAGTTAAGAAAAAAGTCAGGAGTTGATAAGACATCGTTGGGCCACTGTTCGGGGTTACCAATCAAGTGTTCAATGAAAGAGGGAGAAAAATCTAAAATGCTCTCGATGACGCTGCGGCCAGAAAAGACATGTACCATGATTGTGGTGAAATCGTGAAGTTGCTCAAATGGAAATCCAGAGTTGGAGAACCAGGGAAAAACAAACTGTCGCATAGAATGGAGAAACAATTCGTGAGAAGGTGTTTTGCTGGAAGCGGGGATACGGGTCAATATCCGGAGAAATAAGCTTTCTGGTTTGGATACACACTCCGAGAGCATAGCCGGGCAGTGTTGCAAAACATGTTGTAAGAAAAGCGACAGTTGCTGGTGCGCTACCGTAACAGAGATGGAGCCTAAATCTGTTGTACTAATGGCTCGATTTACAACAAAAGGGTAGACCTCGATCCAAAAGAAATCGGACGCCGAGTTAGAATGTTGAATAGTATTAATTTCAAATAGCGTGGAAAGACTACAATCTGCAAAGCCAACATTAGCGCAGGAATGCTCCCAATGAGTGAGCCACGTGGGACGAGGAAACTGCAGAGTCAAAAAAGCGAAGTACAATATGAGTGGAATGAGGTTTGAATCGTGCACTAATGGACAAAGCTTCGTTAGTGGGTCCCGTTTCGTCAAGTCAACTAGCTCCAGTAACAGCTGGTCTTCGGAATGCGGATGGAGGCAAATCGGCGCGAACGACCCCCAGCTCGCAAACACGCGCAACCAAATATGAGCAGATGACGGGGGTTTGTAAATTCCGGATCGTTGTAACCGGCGAATACAAGCAAAACTGCCTGTGTGCGGGACTAATTTGCGTAGAAAATATAAGGTAACCCGCTGACATGCCTTGAGCACTTCTTCGCGAGTTTCGGTCCAACGATCAACAGCGTCCGTGCATATGTAAACGAAGAAGTCCTCTAGCCCAGAGCTCGCAATATCCCGCTGGAAGAAAGAAGACACGAGGGTTACAACTCGATGTGGCATCGAGTGGAACAAAACGGTATGCAATCAAAAACTTATCGGTAGTGAATTCACTCCCCCCTCAGTTAGCTACATAGACAGTAGACATGTTGACAAAATGCGGTGCCACATAGGTATTTGGTTACGGCATAATTCGATCCAAGCGAGCACCGATAGACCCCCATGAAGTATTCAGTACCAGTGAAGATGATAAACATGATATAGCATTGCACCAGTTCACTGTTGCGCTTCCGTCTTGCAGGCGCACCGAGTGAAGCCAGGCGGAGAGTGTAGAATGGATAGGTGTGCCAAACCCCAAAGTAAAAGAATGTCTGCCCATGAGTGATGACTGCCTATGGTCCCTTGGCTATAGCATTCTTCATCATGACCTCGTCCGCGTGCAATGCACGAATTGGGACACAATTGTTTGTGTGGAGGAGCAGAGCAAACGGCGGAATACAATAGTTTAACGCATCGGACCGCTGTTCACATGACATTCCAGTTGTATGGTGAATCATATCGAGAGGGGTGGCCCCCAAAATGTCTCACCGGTTCGAAACTGTGTAGCTGCGGGTAATCTCACCGTGTTCCTAGTCAACGCGTGAGGCGGTTGCGTGGCAGTGGTGTCAGTGCGATGCACCAATGTACCACTGACGCCTTTCGACACTGTTATTGCTACTTTGCGTCTTTAACAGCGGTAAAGCCGTGCACGTCAGACGTTTTCGCTCGTTGGGTAGCATAGTGCGTCTGAAGAGGCTAAGGGCTATTAGCCAAGCAATCACTAGGAGCTGTAACAAAGTCCAAGAGAAAGGTGGGTGTTGACGACAGTAAACGTTGTAACCTGGTTATGGTTACCGACAGCAGCACAGTGACCTAGGCGCTTAGATACTTGAACTAGTTAAAACCTGCCTCCAATAGCTCAGCTCGGCTCAAACAAACAACTATGGGGTCGAAGTGCGATGGATGCAATTGCAATAACTCGCATTGACATGGTGACGGAAACTAAAAATGATATGAATTTGGAAAGAAAGGTAGAAAAATGAGACGCCAGTAAGAGCGAAGAAATAAAGATCGTTCAATAGAATGGAACAGCAGCTGTAAGCAAGAGGTCGAATACAGGAGAGTTTCGGACTTTTGATTCAGCGATATCCAGTAAGGCCGCTATTCGCTGCTGTAGACGAGTCCCAGCTATCAAACCAAAGGCAAACCACTCCAAAGTCCTTGCTTCTATTCCGAACCTCCACAGCGTCATCACACGATCATCTCGGTGGTCAGCAAAAATGGGACTAAAAAAGAGGAAGCCGCTGAGCAATAGTTTGCGCTCTCCCACTGTCCGAAATCATCCGTCGAGCACGTTCCCCACACGAACACAGCTGAGCATATAACCCGTAAACATCTAACACCCACAGGAGGGAAAGCTTAAGATCTGATCTGCAAAGATGGTGACCATTGAGTGGTCCGAGGTATTGCGAAATTAGACTCGCTCTTGCCGGGACTCTACAAAGACCAGTATGTTGTGAATGACTATGGAGGTAACCAGATGTTACCAACCAGTGAATTACGAAGAAACTCAGACTATTGCATCCGATTAAAGTGGAGCATTGTTGAAATGTAATTTCCTCCGGAGACGGATTCTTGTTATTTTCAGACAAAAGATGCAATCAGAAAGTGCGTTGACAAAGGTGCTGACTTGATCGGATCTAGCGGACAGTACCGCGAGCTGAACCAGTTAAAATCGTGAGGATAGATTGCTAAAATTGGTAGTCAGCAAGATGTACACACTAAATCAGTATATCACTTTCAGTAGCTGTGGTTTCCAAGATGGCAACAACGACGGGCTAATAGGTGGAAACTGGGGATAGGTGATTCGAGCGTAACAAAGTGAAATTTACGAGAGACGGAGGAGCAACCTGCCTTGAAAAATGAGATTTGAGCAGACACGTATGGAGAAAACCGTCGCCATCATTATCATGTTAGCTGGAGGTAAGAAATACAGAAACTACTATGCAGCAATACAATGTAAATATTCCACAAAAGAAACACAAACATAGATAGTAGGCGAATACGAAACAATTGTTTCTAGGCCTTTTTATCATTATGCATAAACCGTGAGATCGTGGTTGAAGGGAGAAGGTAGACGATAGGGGGGCACAAGGAAACACAAACACCAGTGAGGTCGGCTCTTCGCCATGTCAATAAGTGTATCCAACCAAATGTGTTCATCGCTCTTGGGATCCCATCTCAGCAGTCGGGAGACACAAACCAAGGCCAATTTAGAAAAAACTTGTCAGCACAAGCTGATTACTTAAAAGTTCTGTTTCAGTCAGTGTCGCCCCATTGCTCTCAGTGATAGATATTCATCCACACTACTCAAGCAACTGTGAAGGAAAAAGAGCAGGCTATTTAGTATAAGCTACCTGCCTGTGTCAAATGGCTGTCGGTGGCTATAAAGGCAGAGGTAAGAAGGCGAAACAACCTGTACATTGAGGCCGTTTTAGGAAACCACAGTTGACGTGATTTTTAGACTTTTGGAGCAACTGTTTAAAAAAAATTTCTGTAGCCCACTCGATACTGCATAGGTGGATAAGCCCAAATCAGAGTTCAACTCATCAATATCGAACACATTCTGTCCACCTTCATTTCCCATCACTGATCCATGGTATTTGACCACACCAGTGTTTATAGGGAACTCAGGAGACTGAAATCAAACAAAGCTAGTGGTCCTGATGCAGTGTTAGCAGTCACTAAAAGAGTGTGCGGATGCATTACAGTCAACTCTGATAGAGATTTCCGACCGATCTTTAACGACTGGTACCATCCCCGATAGCAACCAGAACAATGCTAGTGCCAAAGGAGGAATCATTGAATTGTCGGCCAATAGCGTACATCTCCGTGCTGTTAAAACTGATTAAAAAACTGCTAATCGCTCGAGTTTTCACAAGCGAGCACACATATGATAAAAAGCTTTCGCATACAAGTCAGGGCGCCGTTTTGTATCTTGTGCACTCCACTGTATCTGAATTGGATCAAAAACGCAAGATCATGCGGCTCCTATTCCTCGAGTATACTAATGCCTTTGTGAGCCTCGACAAACCGTTGCTACCAAACCTTTTGCTCGAAAATGGAGTCCCTCACTATGTAGATAGTGCGTGACTACTTTACCAATCGCACACACTTCACGCAGCTTATGTGGTAGAAAGTCTTCCATGATCCCAGCCAATTTTGGTATTTTGCAAGGAGCTATGATTTCCCTCGATGCTGAATGCCAGCCTATACCATCGTTCTAGAGTGTACAACGCCCATAATTGAGAAATCCTCGAAAATTCGACAAGGATTAGACGAACTCTTGACTAGGTCAAGCTACTGGTCCGTAACTCTTAGCCATTCTAAGGATCGTGATGCCATTTTTTAGTCGTTCCGACGGAGTGCGCCCCCTTTAAATGACCAAAACATCCCTCATTTATTAACCGCAAAGTGTGTCGGTGTTTCCTTATCTTACAACTTATCCTGATCGAAACACGCTCGAAACTTTCTAACTTAGAAGACTATCCTACTACACTCTAATGCTCTCCGCACCGAGTGCGCTCTAATAGCAAGGCTTGTAAATTCATGCATTCTCCTCCATTAGTTATACTGTTCCCCTGTTATTTTCCCCGAACTTCTCCAAAAGGATTAGACTCTTCTAGAGCGCTCACTAAAATTTATTTCCCGATGCTATGGATCACGCAAAGAATCCCTTGTTGAATGCATCGTTAACAAACATCTTAACGCATGCAACAAATTTTCATGCGGGATCCTAAACGACGGCTCTCATCCCATACATACTGTTCCAGACAGTACAGTATCCATTTTTTCCACGCTGTCGAAATTTATTCTCGCGTACTTCCTCATATTGTAAGTGTACCTTGCTGTATCTATCTCGCTTTTAGTCAATCTAAAAACAATGATGCATCAGTTGAGAAGCTGTTCGTTTGTGTGAAAATGCACTCTTTTTGTCTTCCTTGTCATTTTGTATTTTGTCGCTGATGCTATGTCGTGGTACATGCGCAGTGTTGGTAGAAATTGCTGAAAATACTCCCACACAGATGTATGAAACTTATTTTGACATCATGCCACTTGCCAAGTTACCGATTGGCCTCTCTTCACATCTTCTCCCTCTACCAGACCACGGCCATGCAAATAACGCACGTCGCGGGAGTCAGTGTGATGTCATCCGGAACACGTGACCCAGTCGACGAAGTGCAGCCAGTTAACCAATCCGCACGCTGATGCATCAGTTCTAGTGAGAACCGAAAGTTCCAAAAGGAAATGGAGGAAGTGACATTGTCCGCTTGGGCGTACTCCTCGACCGGACCGGAGCGACGCCTTGCGATTGCGTGAGTCGAAACTAGAAGATAAATTGCTTAGCAAAGCAAGATGAGAATTGGGAGGGGGGGGGTGAAAACGCGGCGGATAGAAGTGAAGTTGGAAGAGGACGATGGAGATAAAATGCGTAAGAGGAGGAATAAGATCGGGAGACCTGAGCAGTAGCATCCTTACTGCTATCCACCATGCTAGATGCAGCAAACAAGTGGAGCATGGTTGGGGTCTGTTTTTACAGAAATGGGCGATATCCCATTTCCAGCCGCCAACTTGAAGAACCAGGAGACTGAGTTTGTCCGACGTCTGATCTTCGGCCAATCTGGTAGAAGTGCTCAAATGGCCAGAGGGCACCACCACGATCGATCGGTAGGAGAGGTAGACAAACCGTCGCACCACGTTCAGGCAGTCTTGCTATGACGGTAGCTTGACAGTATGACGCTGATCTGTGTACGAGACTGTCGGTGTTTCGACCACGTGTATGAGTACAGCGAAATACGAACATTCCGCCTGAGGGTGACGAAAGTGTGGAAGACGGGAGCTATTCGCTCAAAAAAGGTCAGAAGCTGAGGCCATAAACCTATTAGGTTACCATCCATAAGAAAGAGGGTGGGGAACGTAGG